GATAATGTGTTTATTTCTTTACCTTTTTACCATCTCTCTCCTTCTCACCCTTCTTTTCATTCATTTTCTTATTTTCTTACTCCTAATAAATATTTCTTAATTTAAGTTATAATTTTTTAAAATACTTAATAGAAAAACGTTAGAAAATATATATTATAACTGAATGTACGTAAAGACACGAAAAATGAATTCTAATAATATTAAGGTTGAATGATATTATTATTATTATTATTATTATATTATAATAATAATAACAATAACAATAATAATAATAATAATAATAATAATAAAAATCTTATCAAATCAATTTATATGCTAAAGTAAATTAGTTTGTATTTTGAGTTAATTTGATTCTATTAAATATACTGAAAAATAAGTTTATTTTTAATGTTAACAATTTTATAAGTGTTTAAGTTATTTTAACAGAAAATGTATTTATCGATATTTTTTTTAATCAAATGTATTAATTATTTAATTATGTTTTGAGAATTAGATATTTATTTGGAGAAAAAAAATGAACGAAAAGAGAGGTGAGTAAGAGAGATGGTAAAAAGGTAAAGAAGTGGACCCATTATCCAAGTGTCAATTAATTAATGGAGGGTTACACAACTATTGTTGGTTGGACCTCTACCATTGTAAATTTTTTCAGGAAATGAGTATGTAAAAACAATAACACTCACTCTTTTGTATTCAAATAATCAACACGAAAACATGTTGTACTACAACATTCATGTCATTTTTATAGGGAAAAAGGTCTGATATATCCATTAACTTTGTTATTTTGAGTTGATATATCCCTCGTTATAAAAGTGACTCATATATACTCTTACTGTTATACAAATGACTCACACATACCCCTTTCCTCTAACGGAAGTGAAAAAATTAATTTTATTTTAATATTTTAATTATTTTTTTGAAAAAAATATAATCCACGGTATATGGATTATACCCCACACATATAGGATATATTTAATACCCCTCACACGTATTTTTTATTTTATTTTAATGACTAATTTAAATTTATTATTTTGATGGTCAAATTTATTTATATTTCACTAATTTTCTTGTAAAATTTATTATAGATGCCCCATTTTTTATTTTTACAAATACAAAAAACTAAATTACAATATAGCCGTAAAAAATAGTTTTAAATTTTTTCTTTACACTAAAGAATGAAAGAAAAAAGAATAAGAAACTCAGATAATGATAATCTAAGAAGTCAAAAAAAAATTGTATGAAAAAGATTAAAATTTACCTTGAAATTTGCTAGGAAGGATCATATATATACCTCTACATGATTTTTTTTTTAAATTGAAAGTAAAATAAAATAAATGTAAGACTATTTTTTTCAGTTCTGTTAGATGAAGGGTATATGTGAGCTCATTTTGTAACGGTAAGGGTATATGTGAGCCATTTGTATAACGGTAAGAGTATATATGTGCCACTTTCATAACGATGAGTATATCGGCTCTAAATGACAAAATTAAGGAGTATATCAGACCCTTTTTCCTTTTTTTATATGAGCTAGTTTGACTTGACACAGAATTTTAAGAAAAAAATGAAGAATTGTGGTCTAAAATAAGTGATAGATATTTGTGTGACTATACATAATTTCATTAAAGGTAAAATAAGAATTCTTAATTGTTACTTAATATAAAAATGTGTCATTCTTTTTGGATCCACTATAAACGAAAGTAAGTCATATAAAATGAAACAGAGTAACAATTCTTAATTTCATCACTATTTAATTAACTATTATAGTTTGCAACCATTTATTTCACATACGCATATTGTTAAGCTTGAAGAACTTGTCAAATGTAAGAGTTTTAGTATTCTAACCAAAACTAGTTGTAGATTCATAGTGAACATACTGTATAAATGGATCTCAGTGATGATTAAAAACTCGTCTTGCTTCTGAATCGAACATGCAACGAAAATATTGTACTAGTAATATTTAACGTATCAACCTGAATTTTGCTCGCCCTGCCCTGCATAGCTTCATTTAGAATTTCAGTTGTAGTTCACCCGCCCCGCCCCGCCCCGCCCCGTATGCGTTGTTAATTGGTTGAGGATATTGTTGTCAACAGATATACTAGTATCAAGTGAAGATGTTAGGCTGTTCAAAATACAAGTTCCTTTCACTTGTTTTGATGTTACTGCTAATAATGGTTGATCCAAGTTCACAATCTCAAGTAAAAGAAGAAAACGGAGTTAAATCTGCTGTCTTTCGATCACCAACGATTATGCTGGAACCTGGATCTGTCTCTAACAAGTATTACAACAACATTGACTTCCCTAAAGGCCATATTGCTGTCAAAAGTTTTGTTGCTGAAGTAGTTGATGAGGCAGGGAATTCGGTACCCCTCTACGAGACATATCTTCACCACTGGGTTGTTGTAAGATATTATTATCGAAAAGGTGTGGGGTTCAATCAATCAAATTTTATTGTCAAAAGAAATTCAGGGATATGTGATGAAGGCCTTCCTCAATATTTTGGCCTTGGATCAGAGACCCGAAAAACAATCACCTATGTTCCAGACCCTTATGGAATAGAAGTTGGTAATCCAGTCGAAGTACCTCCTGGATACGAGGAAAGATGGTTGTTCAATATACATGCAATTGATACATGAGGTGCGGAAGATAGATTGGGATGCATTGAATGCAGGTGTGATCTTTATAATGTTACCAAGGACGAGAATGACCGAGTGATAGAGCTAGATTACATCGGAGGCTTGAGATGTTGTTATGATGAAACAAGATGCAGGGTGAAAGACGGATTCTATGGATCGAGGAGAAACCTGTACCTGAAGTACACAGTGAAGTATATTGATTGGGTTGCCTCCCTTGTGCCTGTCAAAATTTATATACTTGATATCACTGATGCATGGAAAAAGCCAGAAAAATCGACTGCCACTGTGGCAAGACATCACTGCCAGGTGTGAATGATAATTCAGCTCATAGCTGAAATCATTTTTAACTCTTTGCTACTACCTAAATATATCTGGTTAATAGTTAGTTAATTTCTTTTACTTCAGATAGAATATTTAGTGGAATCATGTGCTGCATCTGTTGCAAATGTCGATTGCACTCATACAAAGAAGATAAGCATAACTTTTCCTAGTGGCGGAGATATCATCTACGGAACTGCACATCAACATACAGGAGGGACTGGGATGGCACTCCATGGAGAGGTACTCTGAGCTATTATATTTTGTTTCTTTGGTCATGTTCTGCTTACAATCTGGATTACTTGTATACATTTCTTATAGATTTTCAGATGATGAACCTACTGATAAAAACAGAGGTATTTGTACAAAAAGCTTTTTCTTTTAATCACCGTCGAGTGTTTATTGTGTTTTGATTATCACACTATGTTGTGTTCTTGTTCATCTATTGTAGGATTTGCATTGTTTCCCTTGTTGTTGGCTATGTTTCTTATATTTATTTAATTATTGTACTTGGATTTGCTACATTTGAGCCGAGAGTCTTTCACAAACAGTGTCTCTATCTCCACGAGGTAGTGGTAAGGTTTGCGTACAGTCTACCCTCCCCAGACCCCACTTGTGGGACTACACTGGTGATGTTGTTGTTGTTGTTGTTGATACTTGGCTTGTTGCATGCATCTTAACACTGGTTGATCGAATCCATATCGAATTTCATTCTCTTAACATCAGATAAAAGAAGTGTTGTTAGCATTCATTTCATGACATGATTGTCATACTTCAGAAGATTATTTGGTTGAGTTTGGTGTTGATTATTTTCTTAATTTCTTCTTCTCTGATTCCACGGCACTGGTCTAGGATGGACATGTCATATGCTCGTCTCTTCCAATATATGGGGAAGGAAAGGAACCAGGAAATGAAGCTGGTTACATTGTCGGTATGTCTAGTTGTTATCCTATACCTGGCTCTATCAAGATCTCGGAAGGGGAGACTGTAACTTTACTGTCAAACTATAGCAATGCCCAGAGGCATACAGGAGTGATGGGGTTGTTCTATCTCTTGGTTGCTGAACCATCATCGAAGCCTAACTCTATCCTGAGTCTATACTGATATGAGGTTCCCTCCATTTGGTAACTGTGGTCCCTTCTTTTTGGACACGTGTGTTGCACTTGTATGTCAAGTTACCAAATTACATGAATTTGTAATATAATGTCAATATTACTAAAATAAACTTTGAGTAAATGATGGTATATATTATCCATATTAATTAAGTACAAGTGTTTGTGAATGACATATCTTTGGATCTTTGTATAGTGAAATGTTTATCAATGTTAAGATGACGGAAAATTATCTGAATTTACGTATGAATGACAGAGAAAAAAAGAAAGGATAATATCTGGTTTCAGACACTTTGATGCAATTCTATGATTTTGGTATAAAGAAAAAAGAAAGGATTCAAGAATGTGCAGATTCACTCCTGGATGTTTACGAAGAATGCAGATACAATTTTTCGTCACCCACAGGATGTTCATGTTCGTATGAGAGTTGATTTATATTTATCATTATCTATTCATTGAACTTCGCCAAATGATGTAAATTAACTCATTGAGAACGTGTTGTATTGTATACACATTTTTGGATAGTCGTACTGTGTATACTCATATGGGATTTTTATTTCCTTTATGAAGAGGTCAAGAAAAGGAATGAATCCAGACAATAATATGAATACTTCTTTTTGAGATACTAGAATCATTTTTCCCTCAAAGTCTCGACGGTAATTAAGTTGTACTCAATTTTACACTAGTGAGGATGATAGAAAAGCTGGTGGATTCATTGCTAAATTCAAAGAACAGATTAGGCATTAAAAAATTGAATCATTTAGATGATAAAGCACAATCAATTTTGCATTGTCCACTAAGAATCAGATTACAATAAAAATGCCTGTAAAGAAGCAGTAACAAGTAACAACATCCTAGCCTTAGAGAAAAAGCATTTGAGCCTCTTTGAGTACATACTAACCTTACTGCTTCCTTTTGAAGTTTGGTTACAAGAATTAAATTAGATACCACACAAGGTGAATTCATGGACAAGAGGTGAAATAATATCCCTAATCTCTTCCAACGCTCGAGCATTCTTGTCAATGGAACTGCTAAGAGAAGTCCATTTCTGCTTAAAATCAGCAGCAAACTTTGGACTAACTACACAGAGAGTGTTGTACAGGTCTTTGATGTTATTCTTGAATGGAGTTCCAGACAAAAGTATGCGCTTCTCTGTTTCAACCTTTCTCAAAGCTTTCCACACAAGACTCTGCTCATTCCAACCATTCAGCCCTTCTTCAAGGACCAGAAGACCAGGAGATTTTAGAAGTATTTCTCTAGTCTCTTTGGCATAACCCTCTCCATCTTCTCCTGTGAGAATTCTGAACAAGTCATAACTGATTCCCAAAACACTCTGACTTTTCGCCCAAGATTGCAGCTTCACCATGCGTTTAAGGTGTGGATTTTTTTTCACAGCATGGGATAAACAGTTAAAGACACCAACAGTACCTTCATCTTCCTTTAAAGAGAAGTCCTTGTTGTTCAAGTTGTGGAAGGGAATGTCCACCGCCCATTTCTGGAACTCGGCTTCCCATTTAAGAAGCAAATTGGATGGAGCTATGATTACAGGCCGACACTGTGGGAACAACTTCAGAAATGACTGAAGAAACACTATGGTGAGTCGGGTTTTTCCGGTGCCTGGTGGGTGTGAGATAATGCATCCTCCCTTACTCACAAATAGGGGCTCTCTCAGCCTCTCAAGAGTTATATCTCCAGCAATGTTGTTCCACATGAACTCAAATCCTTCACATTGATGAAAATACATTGTCGCTTTGGCAATTTGGTGAACTAAATCCCACACGGTTCCTTCTCCATAAAAATCAGAAACTCTGAAGCCATGAACATCCAAGAGTGATGGCGACTCTTCAAAATATTTTCTTTCGTACCTCCCTCGAGTTCTCTGAGCCTGCAGATGACACAAAAGTTCAAGAATTTAAGAGTGAACCATAAATAAATTGGAGAACAAAGTTCAAAAAATATTTGAAAAGAAAAGTGCTTGATAGGACAAAACTCGTATACTTACAAAAGGAGGGCAGATGTACTTGCTCTCCAAATGGACATATGGACAAACTGAACAGATGAGTCCAATTTGTTCATCTAGAACAAGATGGTGGTTCTCCATCTGACAATCACTTAGTTGTCCACTCTGCATCGGCGAAACAGATGGATTTGTAAAGCCAATATGTAATTCTTCGATACACATGTTCATTTCAACAAAAAGATTGTCAATCTCCTTTTCCCATTCTTCTTTCTCCAGAGGAAGAGGTTCCTGGTCTTCAAATCCGAGTATTAAAGGAAGTGTTTCTTTGACAAAAACATGTTCCTTCTTTTCAGGAGGAGTGACTTTATTATGATCATTGACATTTTTTATTGATTTAACAATAAACTTCAGAAACTCAGACTCTTCAAGAATCTTCTTTCGATTCTTTCGAAGAGCATCAGTTGAAGATCTGAATTCTGACTCGGAACATGAGGTTGTATCAGTAAACTCTTTGGATTCGATTGCCGCCCTAAACATGCTTGAAGTAGAAGGAACAACCTCATATGTTACATTCAACATCGGAGCAGGCTTCTCCCTAATGACAACAACATCAGGATCACTCTCCTCCTCCTACACCCTCTAATGGTAACAACATCAGGATCACTCTCTTCCTCCCCCTCCTCCCTAATGATAACTACATCAGGATCACTCTCCTCCTCCTCTTCCTCCTCCCTAATGATAACAACATCAGGATCACTCTCCTCCTCCTCCTCCTCCCTAATGATAACAACATTAGGATCACTCTCATCCTCCTCCTCATTCTCCCTAATGATAACAACATCAGGATCACTCTCCTCGTCCTCCTCCTCCTCCTTAATGATAACAACATCATGATCACTCTCCTCCTCCTTTTCCTCCCTAATGATAACATCAGGATCACTCTCCTCCTCATCCTCCTTCTTCTCCTCATCCTCCTCCTCCTCCTCCTCCCTAACAACATTAGGACCATTTTCCTCCTCCTCCTCCTCGCTAATGAGAACAACATCACCATCACTCTCCTCCTCCGACGAATCTGCACCATCATCAGATACTTCTTCAACGAAAGGTTGATTCGTGAAGGACTCACGAGTTCCTGGACTGAACTTTCTCTGCCCATTGTTTTCCACATTTCTCTCGTCACCTCCGGAAGGCTCCATATTTTTTCTTTTCCTTCCACAACTAATATTCGTAGGATTACCACTTTGACTCACTCTGTTCCTCTTTTGGTTGTGATGTAAAGTAGGTGTCATTAGTGTTAATAGTTAGTTAGTTACAGAAAGGGCAAATTAGTCTATCAAGAAGAGTTAGTTATAACTAACTCAATATGCTGTTATTAAAGGAAGGTACAAGGATAGCTCTATAAATAGCTACTCCTCATTGTATTTTTGCTTTAAGTCAATATATGAAATCTTCTCCTCTCTTCTTCTTCTTTTTCATTCTCTTCTCTAAATCTTCCATTCATGATTGAGCTTCTTTAGTTTACGAACATGGTATCAGAGCTTTGTGCTTTAGTCTGATTAAGAACTGAAGTCGGTATTGTTCAAAGGATCAAAGAATCAATTGACTGATTCATCGATTCATGGAAGTGTGTTAAAGATCGTTACAGATCGTAGCTTGAAATAAGGCTGGAATCTGTTTTGTTTGTGTTTGAACTGTTAGCTATATTGTTAGCTATTTGTTTCCGCGATTTGAAGTTCAATCTGATCATAAATGGCACCTGAAAGTAATTCAACTGATCTGCCTCAAAATGGATCTGCAGCTTTTGTTTCTCAAACTAACAGTTCAGTGCAAGGACAAGGTATTGATTATAATCATCCTCTGTTTCTTAATCCTACTGATGTTAGTGGTATTAACTTGATTTCGTTTCAACTGCTTGGTATTGAAAATTATATGCTATGGAGTAGATCTATTCGTTTAGCATTGTTAGGAAGAAATAAGCTTGGGTTAATTGATGGAACTGTTAGAAAGGAAATGTATGGTGTAGAATTGTGGGGACATTGGGAAAGGGTGAACGCAATAGTGTTGTCCTGGTTGTTGAACTCTGTGTCCAAAGGTTTGTTGAGTGGTCTTGCATTTGCCTCTAGTGCATTTGATGTTTGGACTGATCTTAGAGAAAGGTTTGATCGAGTAGATGGCTCTAGAACCTATAGTTTGCACAAAGACATATCTTCTATACAACAGGGTACTGCATCTGTTTCTGAGTATTACACAAGGCTTAAAACTCTGTGGGATGAGTTTGAGATATTAGTGCCAGCTCCTTGTTGCAATTGTGAGATTTCAAAAGGATTTGTGACTCACATGAACAGACAGAAGGTATATCAGTTTTTAATGGGGTTGAATGAATCCTATCAACAAGCCAGGAGTCAGATTCTTATGCTAGATCCATTACCAACAATTAATCATGTGTATTCTATGATAGTTGGAGATGAATGTCAAAAGGCTGTGGTAACCTGTACTACTAGTTTGGGAATGGCATCTATTAGTTTGGATTCCTCTGTAGCTATGTACTCAAAAGCTGGTAATAGTTCAGGTGTTGGTAGTAGCTCGGGTATGAATCAGAAGTTCAAAAGGAATTCCCTACTAATATGTGATTTTTGCAAGTGTAAGGGTCATAGCAAAGAGTTTTGTTACAAAATAGTGGGTTATCCTCCTGATTTTAAATCCAAAAGGAAGGTACAAGGGGGGTCTAGTCCACAGGCTAGCAGTCCTTCCGGCCATTATCCATCAGCCCATGCTAACTTTACATATGGTCTCAATACAAATATTCCTCCACCTGGCTGGGGAATCTCACTTAACCAACAACATCTTATGCATGGTTCTGCTCCTGCTCCTGAAGTGTCATCTACTGCTACTTCAAACAGAATAAGTCAAGCTGAGAGAGAGGTTCAACAGATGCTACATGGGTGCACATTTACAAAAGATCAATATGATCATATTTTGAAGATGGTTCAACAGAAATCAGATGCTTCTACTGTTTCTGCTTGCAACACTGCTAGTACTTCAGGTAAAACTTCTTCTGTTATTGATCACAGTCAAGTATGGATTGTTGATACAGGTGCGACAAATCATATGGTCTCTAGCTTGGACATGATGGTGGAAGATTCCGTGTCAAAGCTTGCAGAAGTTAAACCTGTGTACCTACCAAATGGTACTACCACACAAGTTTCTCATGTTGGTTCATGTGCTTTATCAGCCAGAAGTCTGCTCACTAATGCATTGCATGTTCCTGACTTCAAGTACAATCTGTTATCAGTCAGTCAACTCACAAAGGAGTTAGGGTGTTCTGTCACATTCTTTCCTAACTTTTGTGTTTTCCAGGAGCTCTGCAGTGGGAAGGTGAAGGAAGTTGGTAAGGAAGAAGGTGGTTTGTATCTTTTAATGAAGCACTTCACCAATAAAAGTGATTCCAGTACTGGCAAAGAAGTGGCATTTACAGTTAATAATACACAGGCAGTAGACATGGAGTTATGGCATCGAAGATTGGGACATGTGTCTTCTGCAGTTCTTGCGAGAATGTTTGCTATGAGTCACCACACTATGTGTAAAGTGACTAATTGTTCTGTATGTCCTTATGCTAAACAAACCAGATTAGTTTTTCCTGTGAGCAGTATCAAAACTACAGCTTGTTTTGAATTAATACATGTTGATGTTTGGAGACCCTATGCTACACCTACTGTTGATGGTAGCAAGTATTTTCTTACCATTGTTGATGATTTCTCTAGAATGACATGGTTATTTTTGCTTAAACATAAGTCAGCTGTGTGTGTTTCTATCAAAGAATTCCTTTTGTTTGTTAAAACTCAGTTTGGGAAATCAGTCAAAATATTGAGGTCTGACAATGGTACTGAGTTTGTGAATTCAGTGTGTGTAAGTATGTTCAAGGAAATGGGCATTCTGCATCAAAGATCATGTCCTCATACTCCTCAGCAAAATGGTGTTGCTGAAAGAAAACATAGACATTTACTTGAGGTCACACGAGCTCTCAGATTTCAAGCTAATATACCATTAAGATATTGGGGTCAGTGTGTGTTAACTGCCGCTTATCTCATTAACAGGTTACCTAGTAATGTACTTCAGTATGAGACACCTTATGAGAGACTGTATGGTCGACAACCAGTTTTGACTCACCTCAAGACTATAGGATGTTTATGCTTTGCGAAACATTTGACTGAACATGACAAATTAATGCCGAGGGTCAGGTCTGCAGTTCATATGGGATATTCTGAAATTCAGAAAGGTTACATTCTACTGGATCTCAGTAAAAATTCATTTTTTGTAAGTCGAGATGTGATTTTTAGAGAGGATCAATTCCCTTTTGCACAGGTGCCTAGTTCTGATCAGGAGAAGTTGTTTCCAGAATCTCTACCTGATTTTGCAGTCACTCCTCATCTAGAATACATGTTATCCCTTCAGTGTCCTTCCACTGCATGTCCTTCTACAGTTCAACATGATGAGTCTGCGTTGCCTTTAAGTACTACACTACCTAGTCCTGAGGTGGCTCCTGATGAAGTAGTATCAGATTTTATTACGGATGGTTCTGGGTTGGTTTCTGAGTTTAGAAGATCATCTAGACATAAACAGCCTCCCGTTTGGATGAAGGACTTTGTCTCATGTCCTCTCAATAAGGTTGTTCCCCACTCCATTTGCAATAATATAAGCTATGATCATCTCTCTTCTTCATACCAGTCCTACATTGCTGCTACTTCTATAATCAAAGAACCCGATACCTATTCTGAAGCTGTGAAAGATCAAAGGTGGGTGGATGCTATGCAATCTGAAATTCAAGCTCTTGAAAGTAATCATACTTGGGAGATCACTGATCTACCACCTGGCAAGAGACCTATAGGTTGTAGATGGATTTACAAAGTCAAGTATAAATCTACTGGTGAGGTTGAACGATTTAAAGCTAGGTTGGTGGCTAAGGGGTATAGCCAACAGGAAGGGATAGATTACAAGGAGACTTTTTCCCCGGTTGTTAAGATGGTCACAGTCAGAACCATTGTGTCACTTGCAGCATCCAGGCATTGGCATATTCATCAAATGGATGTGTTTAATGCCTTCTTGCATGGTGACTTAGATGATGAGATTTATATGCAGTTGCCAAAGGGTTTTGTCCGTCAAGGGGAGAAGGTATGTAGGCTGACCAAATCCCTTTATGGTCTCAAACAGGCCCCTAGACAGTGGAATCATAAACTGACTGAAGCACTGCTTAAACTGAGGTTTCAGCAAAGTCAACATGATCATTCCTTGTTTATTAACAAAGCAGAAGAAGGGATCATTATAGTACTTGTGTATGTGGATGATATGTTGATAACTGGCAGTAGTCTAAAGCTGATAGAAGACACAAAGAGGGCACTGCAACTAGCATTCAAGATGAAGGATCTGGGTGAGTTGAAGTACTTCCTAGGAATTGAATTTACTAGATCAACAGATGGCATACTAATGCATCAAAGAAAGTATGCTCTTGAGCTTATATCTGAGGTGGGCTTATCAGCAGCCAAACCTGCAGGAACCCCTATTGACATCAATGTTAAACTAACATCAAAATTATATGATGACCATGTAAAGAAGGGACAGGCAGAGACAGAGGATCCCTTGGTAGATCAAATAATGTATCAAAGATTAATAGGCAAGTTGCTGTATTTGAATATGACAAGACCTGATATAACATTCAGTACACAAACTCTTAGTCAATTCTTAAAACAACCAAAGAAGTCACATCTTGATGCTGCACTAAGAGTGGTCAGATATATAAAGAGACAACCTGGACAGGGTTTGTTATTATCTAGTAACTCAGATGAGTTGGTGACTGCCTTCTGTGATGCTGATTGGGCTTCGTGTATGTTAACTAGAAAGTCTGTAACAGGGTATATGGTGAAAGTTGGTCAGTCGTTAGTCTCTTGGAAGGCAAAGAAACAAACAACAGTGTCGAAAAGCTCAGCTGAAGCTGAATATAGGAGCCTTGCCTCCACTGTATCAGAGTTAGTATGGTTGGTTGGAGTGCTGAAGGAAGTAGGAGTTGAAGTTCAATTCCCAGTCCAAGTGTACAGTGACAGTAAAGCAGCAATCCAAATTGCTGCAAATCCAGTATACCACGAAAGGACAAAGCATATCGAAATCGATTGCCACTTTATAAGGGAGAAACTACAACAAGGTT